ATGGTGGCACACGCCTGTGGTCCCAGCTACTCGGGAGGCTGAGGCAGAATTGCTTGAACCCAGCGGGCGGAGGTTGCAGTGAGCTGAGATTGCGCCACTGCACTCCAGCCTGGCAACAGAGCAAGACTCTGCCTCAAAAAAAAAAAAATGGCTTAAACTTTCAAAACAAAACTTATACAACATTTGTTCAAAAATTCCTTTTTATAACGTTTTTTACAACTATTACAATCTTAACTTTCTGACTTTGTGTTGTTTTTTTTTTTTTTTTTTTTTTTGCTACTCTGCACTTATTGGTAAGATATTTCTGACTTTGTTTTATAACTTTCCTTACTAAAGGAGCATTTTTAAATCTGTAACTTTCTTAATATTTATCTTTTTCCTAATCTCTCTCCTTTGTCTCTCCTCTCTTTGCCTCTTTGTTGCTCTCTCTGCCTCTGTCTTTCTCTCTGACTCTCTCTCCCTCTGGCTTTCCACCTCTATCATTTCTTCCCCTGAAAAGAGAACACTTGGAATCGACATTAACTCTAAGTATATAACTGGGGAACTAAAAACTCATCAGTTTGTTCTGCTACCCCATCAGGGTCATCTAATAATGGCTTAAGTTCTCTCTTGAGACTCTGGACCTTAGAAGCAGTTAAGGGAGCATTCACAAAACTAACCATGCCTCCTCCTCGAGGCATCTCCTTTACAGGAGAAAAAAGCTTTGAAGCTGATTCTTTGGAGGAAGAGGGGAAAGGAAACCTTTGAATATCTCTTTTTGCATTGCTCAGTCTCCCACCGGAGCCCTTTCTTCAAGGAAGAAGACTTGCAATGATCAGGCCTTTTGAGTTGCAAGCTCCCAAGAGCATGGGTTATACCAGGTGTGGGGGTGGGGGAGTGGGGAATTTGGGTTGGGTTCTGGGGTGGCAGCCATGGCTTGGGAGGAAGAGGTGTGCTGGGTGTGTTGAGCGGGGAGAGGGAATGGCGGGAGCAGGAAATGAGGGAAGATGGTCTAAAGGGTTCCATTTACATATGGATTGCTCTTGGGTAAAAGCTTCACCTTTTTTTAAGTGAGACTGCGCCTGACTTTATTCTACTCTGATGGTTTTCCTCCTCCTCTTAATGGGTAGAGAACTGGCCCCTGCTGCCAACAGAGTGCATAGTCTTGTTTCTTGTGAGAAAGGGCTTTTGTTGTTTACAAACATTATTAAGAGTTCACAGAACTAATCCTCATCCAACCCAAATTTTGGCCATACAACTGCGGACTTGAGGATCAATTCTTTAGTCCAAATAAAACAGTGATATGTTATCATTTGTTATGGAAGACTCAACCCCCCAAGCTGGGAATCTTTCGCCTCTTATGTTTTTACGGAAGACTCAACACCTCAAGCTAGGAATTTCTTGCCTTCCCTGTCCTGGGAGGTTGACCTGTTTCGTTTCTTCCCCCTTCTCAGGGTCCCTTACATTCTTCTCATTTGTACGGTCCCCTCTTGACCATTCCGCCAAAGGAGATTTGGGACTCTCTTAGTGTCAGTGTGCAGGTGTAATTCCCACGGCAGGATCTGTCCTAAGCCATATGAGGTAGCCACGGAACCTCAGGGAGGACACGCTCACTCCATCCAGCAATAAGAATTGTCACCATTCACACAGACAACACTGCATTCACACACACATTCAACTCTTCAGAAGTTGACAACCAAAGAAGTACTTTGTCACCCCTTTGCAATGTTTGCTACCTTGACTTGTGCATGAGGTTGCCTGATCGAGGCCCCGGGTTACTGCAGTTTGGAATCTCTTTGCCCTGCGTTGCTGAGAATTCAAAAGTATTCCTCGTACAGGATAAGTCCTTGGCTCTTTCCCCTGGGGCCACAGCAATAGGGCGGCGGGCTGCCTTCCCACAACAGAGGACCAAGGATTACCCCAGAGGAGAAATGGAATCTCGGATAAGCCCCCAAATTTGTTGGAAACTGGTTTATAATGGGAAAAATCCATACCCAGACAGTGATCATTCAGCAAGGCTAGTTTACTTCCTGCAGAAAGGGTGCAACTCTTTGGCAGTCTTACCATGAGAGCACACCTGAACAAGGAGACAGAAACATTTATAACTTTAATAACCTGATGCAGTCGCCTAGTTATGCACAGCCTAGTGCTGTGTCCAGCTTCCATTGGCTGGCATGGGACCTCACATTCTATGCTTGACCCGATTGGCTAAAAACTTGGAAATTTCCTGAATAGATATGGGGGGAAGAAGACAAGGAAGAAGAGGAAGCTAGTCAGGAGAAGGTCAGGAGGATTTCCAAATAAGGAATGGCATGTACCAGGGTTTGGAGCTTGTCAAGTTCTGTTTGGGCACCCTGGAGTGAGTCAAGGTAGCTAATTTAGGATGTAGCTGATTTAGAGACTATATATATATGGGTATATGTTTATGCTAATAGTGGATAATGACTATAGAGGAAGAGATTTGTAAATCTTTATAATGTAGTCTAAGATATAAACATTGAAGAACTTTCCCATCTCTCACATTAATTGTGCTAAAAAACACATGAAATTTACTTTTTTTTTTTTTTTTTGAGATGGAGTTTCGCTTTGTCTCCCAGGCTGGAGTGTTGTGGCGCAATTTCGGCTCACTGCAACCTCCGCCTCCCAGGTCTAAGCAATTCTCCTGAGTAGCTGGGGTTATAGGCAAGCTCCACCACCCCCGGCTAAGTTTTGTATTTTTAGTAGAGACGGGGTTTCACCATGTTGGCCAGGATGGTCTTGAACACCTGATCTCGTGATCCACCTGCCTCAGCCCCCCAAAGTACTGGGATTACAGGCATGAGCCACTGCACCTGGCTTTGTTTTTAAAATAGAGATGGGGTCTCTCCATGTTGCCCAGGCTGGTATTGAACTTTTTGACTCAAGTGATTCTCTTGCCTTGGCTTCCCAAAGTGTTGGGATTACAGGCATGAGCCAAAAATTTCTTCTCGTAATCATTTTTATGCGTATAGTTGAGTAATATTAGGAATGGTCACATTCTTGTGCAACAAATTTCTAGAATTTTTTCATTGGACAAAACTGAAATCCATTTCTGGGCAACCACCCTTCTCTTTTGTTTTTATGAGTTTGACTACTTTGAAGACCTCATATCAGTTGTATTGTACCCTGTAACTTTGTTGAATTCATTTATTAGTTTTTTGTTTGTTTGTTTTTGAGAGGGGGTCTCTGTTACCCAGGCTAGAATGCTGAAATTCAAACAGCAGTTTAGTGATTTTTTTGGCTCACTTCAATCTTAACCTTTCCAGTTCAAGTGATCCTTCTGCCTCAGCCTCCTGAATAGCTGGAGCAGAGGTGTGCACCTCTGTGCCTGGCTAATTGTTTATATTTTTGTTAGAGATGGGGTTTTGCCATGCTGCTTAGTCTGGTCTTAACCTCCTGAGCTCAAGCTATCCGCCCAGCCTGGCCTCCCAAAGTGCTGGGATTATGGGCTATTAGTTCTGACAATTCTTTTTGTGTAATCCTTAGGGTTTTCTGTTGGTTCATGTTATCTACGGACAGAGGTAACTTAACGTCTTTTCATTTTTTCCCTCGTTGAATTGCTCTGACTAGAATTCTGACTAGAATTTCCAGTAGTGTGTTGAATAGAAGTTGTGAAAGTGGCCACCTTGTCTTGTTCCTGATCTTAAAGGAAATACATTCAGGCTTTCACCATTGAGTATCATGATAACTGTGTGTTTGGAGAACTGTACTCTGATGAGATGTCCTTCCTTTGCCTTTCTGGTTTTGGATTGGATGGAATGAGTTGGAAAGTTTGTGTTGGTTAGCAGTTAGGCTGCCAGGCGGGCTTCTGGTGAAGATGGTTTTCTGACCACACAAACTTTTTTCAGAATGTGTGCCCTGTGTGTTTTTTGTGGAAGGATATGATGGTTGTAGCCACTCTTCCCTGTGTTTTCAGCCACTGTTATGATTGGGGAAGGAAAACTGGCATTGCGTATTGTGATCCCTTTGTCACCTTGCTGAAATTATACAATGCATGAGGATGTTTTTAGTGGTTGCTTCATCTTAGGCCCCTACTATATCTTATTCTGTCCTGGCTGCTAGGCTTTGTTGCCCGAGTCTTCTCCCTGATGGTCAGTAGTGTCTTCGGCTTCCAGGGCCTCAGATGTGATCTGGGTCCCAAAAGCCTGGTCTTGCGTGTAGATGTTATTACCATGTGACTGTTTAACATATGTTTTGACCTTAAGCCTTTTCCTCCTCTCCTTGGCCAGCTAATTTTTTTAACCCCTTCTTGGTTAGTCAGTATTACCAAGAGAGGAATCTTCCAACCTCAGCTTACTGGCGTTTCTGGAGCTGAGTTGAAGTGTGCTGTAAGTCTCAACATTGTGTATATAATCTGATTAAGTAGAAGGGGTGGGTGTGTGTGTGTGTGTGTACGCATGCGTGAGTGCATGTTAAATGTAAACTAACCTCATATATTTGATAGAGAAAAGATATTGATATAGTGGAACATCTTACTGCTTCATAGGGGATTTCCCCTCCTCACATTAATGTGGTATAGTAATCCAGGCAAGATTTTTTTGTGATTAAAGAGAAGACACTAGTAATATATAAAGAAACAGTAAAAAAGCTGATAAGGCTCACAAATGCTTTCTTGTACATACATAATAATTGGTTTACTGGCTTTAAAGACCCTTATATTTTCTACTTTTGAAGCTGTGTGGACAAGCTGAAGAATATGAAAGACATGAGAATGGTTATGTTCAATTTTTAATATTTTGGGAAATGGTCTTTTAATGAGAACTGAATGTTCTCAAGTTTCCTCATATCAAAAGAGGAAGGCCGTGTGAAGGAGTCCTATGATTTCAAGGAAGGTATGCTCTGTGGCTACTGCTGGTACATGAGACTGGTTCTTGGAATACTAAACTGGAGGGTGGAATCAGTGCTACTGCTTTCAGATATAGCAAGCTGACAAGTCCTTGGTCTCTCCTTCTGCCTTCTCCTTCAAGTACCCTATAGGTACTAAAGGAACCAGAGCTTAACAGGAAGCCAGCTGGAAATGAAAATTGTAGCTTGCATGGTTCCGGCCTCAGCATCACAAAAGCATAGAACAGAAGGGTGGTTTTGGAGATGAGAGATAATCCCAGAATCAGTGGCAAAGTCTCGCCATCCCCCACCGCCTTACATCTGTCAAAAGTCTGTTCTTAAGCTCATATGAGTTATTAGTTAAAAGTAGACTTATTTTCTTTGGAAGCAAAATAATAATTATCTAAAATGTTTGCATTTGTAACTCTTGGCTTTATTTTGAACTATTGGCTTTAATATTGGTTTAGTGAAATTCGTGATCAAAATTTTTTTATAACTTTATTTCAGTATCAGATATAGAAGGTGGTGATGGACTGCAGCTCAGAAAGGAACATACTCTCAAAATATTTGCTTATATCAATTCCTGGACACAGAGGTATGTATCTTTAGGTATTTTGAAGACTAATTTTTGTGAGTTGCATTATAAATTGCCATTTTTATTGTCACATTTTCTTTTTAGGGTGTTGGGTTAGATACCATTACTTACTAAATTACAGTTTGTCAGTATTCATTAAATCTTTACTCACGAGGTCAATCATGAGTCTGTTTTTCGAACATGGTCATAAATACCAGTTTCTTTCTTTGACCCCTCCTTATTTAGGGATATGAGAGTAACAAATTCTGAAAAGTAGCTATTTTGAGAGATTAAAGAATATTTATGGTATAGCTAGAAGCTTGTGACGATCTTAATCCTTAAAAAGAAAGTCAGGCCTGTAATCCCAGCACTTTGGGAGGCCCAGGCGGGTAGGGTAGATCACGAGGTCAGGAGTTTGAGACCAGTCTGGCCAACATAGTGAAACCCCATCTCCACTAAAAATACAATAAATTAGCTGGGCGTGCTGGTGGGTGCTGGTAATCCCAGGTATTTGGGAGGCTGAGGCAGGAGAATTGCTTGAACCCAGGAGGTGGAGGTTGCAGTGAGCCCAGATTGTGCCACTGCACTCCAGCCTGGGCAATAGTGCGAGACTCTGTCTCGGGGGAAAAAAAAAGTCATCATGATAGCCGTTACCTTTAAGCCACTTGCTATCTCTTCCTTTTCTATAATTACGTGTATTAGACCGATTTCTAAATAATACATATGTTGAGACTATAGGGAATAAAACTTTAGGAACACAGATCTTAATATAATCAAGTTTATAATAAGGATTTGCAAATTCCTGTTCCTCAGTGTTATTTTTAACTAGTCTTGGCTAATAATTGTCTTTTTTTCCCTTGAATAAACCAATGAAAATAAAAAGTCTCATAACTTCTGTGCCTATCTGGTTTAAACTTAGTCCTTCTAAAAATTTTTATGGATAAGAACGTTTGAAGCATTGTGTGCAGTAGTCAATGAACATGTTAAATGCAGTGATGCATAAGTGAGTGTTCTCAGGTATACAGTCTGGCTGAATAGTTTAGCTGAATAGTTTAACTTAAAATAACGTTTGCTCTACAGTAATATCCTCTTTTCTTTCAGTAAAGTTGGCAGATACACTTGCCACAAAAGAGTTTGTAGATTTTATTTATGTAAACATTCTGTACCATCATTACTAGCATTTATTTTCTGAGTCACACCCACCGAATTTCCGTAAGTTTATCAGTCGTTGCTGGGGTTTTTTTTTTTTTTTTTTTTTTTGATGGAATTGATGAGTATTGCATAATAATGTTTATGATTGAAGATGAACTTTAACAGTCCACAGTGGTTTGCTGAGAAATGTTGCAACTGAGTCATAATCTTGAGTTTTAATTATTGTTAACTACAGCTAGGTGGGAACTTGTTATACTAGGAAAAAAACCTACACTTCTGCTTTCAGGATCTGTAAGTTTGCCGCTTAATAAAATAAAATCCAGAGAAACAAAATCACTTTCCTGAAATCTTACCACTAGTTATTGGTGAAGATGGGGTGGGAGTTGTATTTTCCCATTACTAGTCTACTTGTATTCTAGCTTATTTTTAATCCCTATATTAGGAATTTGTAACCAAGAGTTTGTGGATGGGAATGAAATTATTAAGGGAGATGTATGTGTAGTTTTAGGCAGTAATTCACAGGTTTCATCAGACTGTTAAAGTGTTTGCCTCCAAACCATTGAGAGGCTGTGCTTTATCTCATGTTGCCCTAGAATGTAGTGGTTAAGAGTGTGGCCTGGCCAGGTGTGCTGGCTCATGCTTCTCACTTTGGGAGGCCGAGGCGGAGGATCATTTGAGCTTAGGAGTTCAAGACCAGCCTGGGCTACAGGGTAAGACCCTGTCTTTATTTAAAATTTAAAACAACAACAGCAAAAAAGTGTGGCCTTGGATCTAGAGAGAAATGGATTCTAGTCCTGCTTCATCACCTGCGAACACATTATTATGACAAATTAGTTAACTTCTGTAAACTCTCAGCTCCTCATTGGGGAAAATATAATGTTAATAAAGCTACTAATACCTTAATGAGGTTGTAAGGAAACAAAGTGCTTAGCACAGTATTTGTTAAAAAGACTTAATAAACACTTATTTTA